CATAAATTGTCTAAATTGCACAAGGATGAAAGGTTTCGCAAACAATGATTCATAGAATAGATGGATTATGGTATCCAGGTCCCATCTTTCGTTTTAGTAGTGACTTGTCATTTGGACATACCTGCATCTCAATTTTCACATACGTGTTGTCACTTAAAATCAGTGCTTTTCAGTTCGAAAGTGACATTATCCACTGAGCTATTAATTTGAGGTAGCTATTGGCTTGTTTTGTCCTAAATATCAGCAAAAGGATTATCTGAATCATGTCTAATAATGATAAAAGCATTATCTTATCTAGAACGATAATGAAGGCTTCAAAATTGTACCATCCTGTTTAGTGAATTCAAAAGCACCAAATCATCCGACATAAGCCATAAATCATTTCTATTCAACTAAATACCAGTAAATAATGTTTACTGGAACATAATATTATTTCTGGTTAATTTCAAACGTCTGACTTTCCAGTTTAGTTTCCGTTCATACCATTTAAATATCATCTAGGTACCTAAAGCATTTTCAGACAATAGAAGTAGTAATAAATCAACCGAATGATAACTGTGGTTCGTTCTTCTTTAAAGTAAATACAATAAATTGGTGTGATACATTTTATTATATCCTGACGACAATTGTGAATGGTAAATTTTGAGAAGTATTTATGGACAAATATTATACGTATATTCTTAATGTATAACTACTCAGCAGCTAGACTACGTATATCTAGACTTCCTTTATTACAAGTTTTACTTTCACGCATAGACTATTATTATACTATTTACCGTTCTTAAGTTATGCCCAATCTACTAATTACAGTCTCCCACGTTCACAACCACTTTTGGCTAGAACTTGTACAAATGTTATTTTCTATTTTGTGGTACGATGTGGTCTGTTTGGTTTGTATATAAACCCAGTATGTTTGAAATACATGATTCATATCACAGAGACTGAGATTCTTGTTCTGAACTTAACAGGCAGGAAGCGGGACCGATAAAGACTTTAAACTTCTCGTAAGAAATCTATGCGTCATTGGTTCAGTCAATAAATCACTGTTTTCTATTTGGCGGTATCATTACGTTATACGTTCATAGGGGCATAAGGTCACAAGTTATAAACTAGTAATCAAGTGAAGTGTATTCATGCGAAATTTTAATCTGTAACAAAATATGAAAAATGCACTTTTAAATACAGAAACGTAAACATTGAAGTAATTTATGACTATTAATCATTACTAATAACATTTAATTATTGTCACGTTTATTGGTTTTTATCACTTGAAATAGCATATATGAAATCGGTCATTATATTTCTGTTGGGTTATTGGCAAGAGTTATCTTTTTAATTACCGACTTTTAAGGGTTTTTTTAAGTATGACAACCTGAAGTCTGTATCAGATGATTTTCTAGGGTATCCCTAAACCTAATGAGTACTCATGAGTTCTGTGCATATATTTATATTCATTTTGTCTATTTTCTTAATCGTTCAAGTCTCATTTTAAACAAAAAATATTAAGAACCTCTATTGTTGGCTTCCTTTGCATTTTCAGCAAATCTTCAAGTCATTATAATTGTCTTTAACATGTTTAGAAACATAATACTACTTTCACAAACAAACAGCTCAGTGCTTCGAGAACGCGACTTTCAGCTAAATCAATTACATGACAGTAGTATATTTTTAAAACCAGCTTGTAAAGTCATTTGGAAACTTTCAAATGATTAAATTAGAATTTTTCATACATATATTTCATTATTTATCTATTGTTCTATTCGATTCATTGAAAACAAACAAGTGAAAGTAATATGTTATTCAAATCTAAAATCATTAAATTATATCGACATTGATAGGGAGGTAAAATAAAGGAAAGGAGACCCTTTTATAAAATGATTAATAGTTAGATAATAATCAATAAAGTGATGAAAATAAAAGAAAAAAACTAATTAATTATAATAAAATGAGGATCTTGCTTAATTAAATTTTTACAGTACAATGAAAAGAAGCTTTAAAACATCAATTAAATGATGAATAAACGGTGTATTTTAGTAAATCAATAGTTTAAAATAAACAGCAAACAATAATTTGATATAATGGTTCTTTTATTTGTTTTTTCGGTAAATATTCTGTGAAATCAATCAAGCAATGTGTAGTATAGTCTCATATGATAGTGAATATCGACTAGAATACTATTGGATAGATTGAAATATTCCTGATTCTTTTGTAAATGAAAGAGAAAAAAACTTTCTTTTCCGTATACAGTTGTAAATAAAATGAGTAAATGAGTAAATTGCATGTGTACTTAATGAATCTGGCTACATTGAATTATTTTGTTGTTTGTTTTTATTTTTAAACTCGAAATGAACATCTTACTAAACGTGAACCGATTGGACAAATTGGACGAAAATTATCGGTTTGACCACAGGTTACACAATTTGCATGCATTTGTCGTAATGTTTCAAGCTGAGTTTAGAATAACAAAGAAACAGAATATTATACATGTTTGGTTAAGGACAACCACATAAATGCGGCAAATAATTTGAATTATTTAAAGCAATTAGCCCCTTTGATAAATTTGCATAATGTAATGAGAAGACGAAAATAATCAGAACTATGTGATGATATAAGCAAAGATGAATACTGGCTAGTAGTGGAATCCAGGACGCACATTTCGTCCTATTCGGGACTCGTCAGCTGGATGTACCTGCATCTCAGATTTGATGTTCACTTTAGGACTCGAATCCAGTACCATTCGTTTCAAACGTCATCGCGTTATCCATTTAGCTACTGAGTCCGGATAGCCACTTGTTTATGCGATGGGGTGAAGTTTAATTCACTTGATATTGTTTTACTTGAATCTTCCCATTGATGCCAATAAGAGACTGATCAATTTTGGTCTAAAACATCAATGGGAGGATTCAAGTAAAACAATATCAAGTGAGTTATGTGATGATATATTAGCGCAATACATTTCGAACAATCTGATCGCACATATACTTGTTAGGAACATTTGTATATAAAAATAAGAAGTCAAGTAGACTGGAAATGGGGTAAGAGGAGACAAGGATAATAATAAGAGTAATGGTTGCAGAAACAAATAGAATCAAGTGACCCAATAAGAGTAGAGGATAAACATCCATCATTCTCTTTTGCTAAACATATAAATGAAACAGGCCATAAAATTGATCTAAACTCGGCTTTTGTGGTGTTGTATAAAAGTGTAAAATGGCGTATTTTATACAACACTACAAAAACCGAGTTTTAATCGATCTTATGGCCTGTTCCAATTATTGAAGCTTTAGCCATACGAAAATTCAAACCCCCTTTGTGTATTCAAAAACAGTTTGTTCTAACCTTAAACCTACCCTGGTAATATTAGCTTATTATCCAGAGTGATTAGGTTTCAAATTGTATTCATATTATTATCACTCTTATTATTATTAACCTTGTCTCCTCTAAGCCTTCACTACTAGTCTAGTTGACCTTTTATTTTTATACATAAATGTTCTTAACAAGTATATTGTGTGTGATCAGATTATTCGAAATATAATGCCCTAATATATCACCACATAGTTCTGATAACCTTCGTCTTCGAAATTTGAATTATCCCATTGTTAATGATCTTGACTGAAATTTAATGAATTTTTGTTAACATATAGATACTCTATATTAAATAGCCATTCTATTTTACAGTTTGATAGTACACAAGGATTCCTGTTTCAGTAGTTTCGTCCGAATTCAAACTCCTCATTTAGATGTACCTATATCTCAGTGGCTATTTAAACTTAGTTTTCCTGATTGACAAATTCTCTTTCTGTTTTTCTTTCTCTTATAAAAAATCATTTATTATTGAATAAAATTGAATATATCACATTGAAAATTCAATCTTTCATTTATAATAGAAATGGATTAAAACAAAAAACAATTCAAATATTTCGATTCTATCAGAACTATATCAAGTAAACAATGAAACAAAATAAACTGAATAAAATAGAGGAAAAACAAAATTTCGATTATTTTTTTCTCTTTTTTTCTTGCCTTTTGGGTTTATTTTGTTGGTATTGAAAAAATAAAAAAAAATAAAGAAAATGATTTTTTGAAAAAACAAAATTTCCGATATTTATGTATAGAGAATAATAAATGAACTAGTTGAAAGAAAATATTCCCTAATTAATTTTATGAATTGTACATAACTTAATGAGATCTAATCAAATATGAATAAATACAGATTTGGAAAAGGTAGGTTTATTAGTCTCCAGAGTATTTTTTTCTTTTACGTGCTCATATTTCACTCTTCCTTTTTTTATTTGTAGCTTAGAGAAATGGATCAAAAAATATAAAACAAATGAAAAAAAAAACAACGAAAACATCCAAAACTATATTATCACCAGTGATAATCTATTTATTTGAAATTGAAGCAGTAAACTGAAGTTAGATCATGAAATTCAATTTGGTAATTTCAAGTGATCTTACACTTTATAAGGTGGGGTTGGGTTATATTCAGAATTAATTGTTATGTAATGTTTATGAGGGTTTAATGGGTTTATTGTGTAAGGATGGATTTTTGAAATGAATTACTTTCAAGACATATATTGTTGTAGATTGATTGTCAGGAAATCGATTTCATCTCCCTATCTATTATTGCTTTCATAGATCTATTAATTTGATATTTCGATCTGCAATGGGTCAAATTTTTTTGACATATGTACATAGTAAAAGGAATGTCTTAATATAACCATTTAGCCACAAGTTTTTAGTACAGATTTGTGATAATTAGTAATGGAATGGGAAACTGTAAAGCCTTACAAATAAAATTCGTACTCATTTTACAAGGTGGTTTAGAGGTACACCTAGTTGACAAGTCAAAAATAGGACCAAAAGCTTTTCCCGTATTCCAGGTGTTTAGTGCTTCCAGGTTTTTAGTGATTGATTCATAGTTTCAAAAAATTTAACATAAATGATACAAGGCAGAACAATAGAAAATTTTATTTCTTCATTCAAGTGTATAAACTTACTTGATCAATGGTCATGACTACCGGCTCATCTAAAACGATCCATGTGACGCATTCATTACATGGTGGGGTAGTTAATGATCCGGAATATGTGTAGTATCTGGATAAATCATCTGTACGATATAAAAGTTTTATGGGTAAGGAAAAACGATCATTTAACAAGCAAATGAGGAATTGATCATTTATAAAACAAATCAGCTAAAGTTATGCACATTATTTTTAAAGTTCATTTAGTGTTTTGCACCCGAAAATTTTGGCCGCATTCCTGTTCATTTAATAAGCGACAGCATCACAAAGAGTACAATTTTCATCAAAGATTTCATTTCAAGCGTCCAGAGTACTTCGATATTGTCTCTTATGAATATCTTAGTGTAGAGCGACTTAACATTTTTGTTGAAAAGCATAAATACGCTGAAAGTCAAGGCATGAAATAAAATCTATCATGAAAATAACACTCCAATACTTAGCACTCACCCACTAAATGAACGGAAATGTGACCAAAACAAATCAGGATATCAAGGTTATAGGATGTAAACGATGTTCCAGAAAACCATCTCCAAAAAGTCATTTAATGAAATAATTGCAAACTGGAATTGATTTTGAAATTATACTGTAGAAAACGATAAAATTTCAAGATTATTTCATCACTATCCACTTAGAACTAGGCACACATATACGTTGGCTCAAGTAACCATTATCAAATTAACCTGATGAGATGAAATTAACGACATGAATGTTACAGATGATCGTAATAATAAACTAACAATGAAAATGACAAAGGACTAGTCTTTAAGATTAAAGTTCAGATATCCAGAGTGGAGAAAACATATTTAAAAGAATTCAGAATAGTGAAGAAAATCAAGGATAAATACGTCTGTGCAGTTGTGGACGACTCAAGATCATACACATAAATGAAAATAGACAACTTCATTATAATCTGAATCAAGTACTATCAATAAAAGGAAATAGAACTACACAATAATCTTACTGAACCTCATATCACATAAAAGATTATTTTTGAAATTGTCATTTTATGAGGACAGTATGACAATTTATGTTACTTAATAAATAAACATTTTCCATTATTGTTTTGTCTAAAAAGCTTCATTTTCAATACACGTTTTATGTATGTTATCTTACCCCCATTCAGTTTATTACACGGTGTAGTGTACATTATTAGACTTCACAGTCTACATCACGAACCGATATTAATAAAATAACCACTGAAAACTAGAAGCACTAATTCTTCATCGTTTGATACTTTAGTAGTGTTTGTGCATATCATATCAGTAAATAGACCCTGGAGAATTGAGTCTCAAGATAGGTGCTTAACATTTTGACGAATAAATCCCCATGATTTAGATATCTAGATAAGATTAGTCTGTGATAAAAACTCTAAAGTAATTAACTTGTTAACAGACGGGGTTTTTATGGATATTATAGTGGTTTTAATAGTTGAGTTCACAAGTCAATTGAAGCTAGACTACCATGGAAAACCTGGAAGCACTGGACGACCGTTTCGTCCTGCCGGGTTTGAATCCCACGGGGTGGGATCGTGGATGTGTACTGCTGGAAAGTCCCGCAGTAGGACGAAACGGCCGTCCAGTGCTCCCAGATTTTCCATGGTGGTCTAGCTTTCATTGACTCATGAATTCAACTATTAATTAGTTTGTTTCAAATTGTATTTGTTCAACTTGTCTTTTCGGTCGTTGTTTGATGATCAAATTAATGATTTTCATTAAACAGTAACCAATTAATTACGCTTTTTTCATATCTCATAGAAACTTTTCACAATTTTTAACTTGGCCATAACAAGATAAATGAATAACCTTGGTTTTGATATTCTATTAAAACGTCATATTTATTTTTGTGAAACTGGCAAACTGTTTTTAAAATATTCGAAATAAAACTAAACAAAATAAATCATCTCAAATATTTTAATGAATATGCAACAATCTTTGTACTTTTAAATTAGGTAAAATTTCAATGAACACATACGCGTTCTAGGTTTGCTTGCAGGTTTATAATACACTTGGAAACTAATTATTTATCTCGTTTTTTAATTGTTACTGTGACCGTCAAAGTTTTCAGTCCACACAAATCGTTTTTATTCGAAGGTTATCTGTAACGTTTTCAATGTCCAACTAGTCAGTTCTTTCCAGCGTTAATAGTTATGTAGTAGGTGAATGTTACTTATAAAAATGAAAGAATTTCATTTCAAAGGCCAAATTTTTCTACATTTGTGTCCTCATAAGTCAAGTTATGCTGCGTTATATAGGTTTATACATATAAGTGAATTAGTGATAATTCCTGATCCATGAAATGAAATTCATATATATATATATATATATATATATATATATATATATATATATATATATATATATATATATATATATATATATATAGTATTTATCCAATCTATTATTTGATAGATTCATTTTCTCCAAGTTTAATGATATGACTACGAAACTTTGAGATAAACAGTTCTGACCAGAACAACATTGACTTCCTCATTGCACATAACACGTCCCTGAACTAAACATCTTCCAAGGTATCTACTTGATCAGTGAATCATTGTTATTATTTGGTTAATAACTATAAAACGATTACTATAAATAGTCGATTCTATTTTAATTGCATATTTTTCAAGATAATCTACCATGATCGAGGTGATGATTCGCATTTTTGAGACATAACAAACCAGACTAAAGTTTATTGGTAAACACATCAAAAATACTTAAAACCAAACCTTAATTAATAAGAAACATGCAAAATGAAACTGAAGGTATACCGTCAACAGTTCTAATATTTGATTAAGGCCCCTGATAATGACGATGAGATATGTTCTAAATACAATAGTTAATCTGACACAGAGAAACCAAATAATCAATACACATCAAAATTACATGCAATTAAGATAAGAAACACGACCAAGTAATAGAATTTTGTATCGTCAAAAACGATAGAAATACTAGGACATATGCGCTGTTGTACAAGACGAACTAGTCAAAATAGGTGTCAACCATGTGGCATTGCCCCGTCAGAATTATGTCCATGTCAAATGTTTACAGTCTTTGTCGTTGCTGTGGCAACCCTTACTGGCCCAAATATTGATTTGAGTCAAACCCAACTAAAATGTGTATTGAACATTTTGATGAATGGGAAATGGACAAACGCTAAAGATTTTTCAGAAATAAAAATCATGAATTTCATTTACCAGTATTTTAATCAATGCACGGAAATAGATGCAAATTATTTTTTTATTAAAGCAGACAAACTTGATGTGCTTCTGAAAAATGTTATTTTTACAATACAGCGAATAAAAATTTACAGTTAACTTTCGACTGCAGTATAATACAACATTTCACAAGATTAAATACATAAATGAAGTAATGTCATGTAAGGTATATAGAGAGAAGTAACATTTTAAGCAAAACTGAGTAGTGTATAACAGCACATTTCAGGACGTCTGTTTCGTCTTTATTAGAACTGATTAGCAGGACGTAATTGAACTCCAGTGTTAATATTCACCTTGGGACTGGAATTCGGAATTTTTCGATTCAGAACATAAACGCACCATCCACTTATTTATCGATTTCAAAGAGCTAGTGGTTTGTGAATCCCGTATGGACATTAACACTGCGGTGCGGGTGCACTTAGCTGACGTGTATGAATTAGGACGTAACTCATGTTCTAAATTCTTATGGTATTCACTGTCAAACTCTATTTCAAATGCTTACAGCCTGATGAAAATATCATTGCAGTCTGCTTAGAATGTGTGTTTCAAAAGAGATCAATCAACTACTGTCCACAAAATCAACAGGAGTATTCATACAATTAGTGGAATCGAATTGAGATTAAAAATAACACAGAATTGCAGTTCTTCATCTCCGATGTCGAACATACCCCGATCCAATATAAGCAAATATTCATCCACTAGTCTTGATCACATTGAGACTTTAGGTTTAAATATAACTTGATAAGGTGATTGAATGTCTTTTAAAAATTACATATCGTGAATTATCCCAAGATGAACATATAAAATACGATTAGCATCAAGGATTTGTAGAGATTTATTATTTTAGTTTGCGTCACATACTAACCTTAGTTAAGTGACCAGCCGAAAACTGGAGGCATTTCACAGTTATTCAGCAATGCGTATGCATGATTTGAGTCAGCCTCCAAATTCCTTGGTATGGTCGAGGATGGTGAGAGTCAGCTTCTCCTCTCGAAATTCTCTCACATGGCCACGCGTATATATCCACTGCCAGGGAAGTCCTACTCACTGCCTTCTCGAGACGGGGAAGTTGTTTGCAAAATTGAGAGGACGAAAAGCGAATGTCCGGCACTTTACCCGAGTTGGTGGATATGGAGGATCCACCTAAGAAATTTGGTAAACTCTTATTTTAAGCCAATGGTGCACATGAGCTCCAAGATTCTGAGGGAATGACTGACGTTTCAACATATTGTTGGTCACCGGCTACCATGGGACTGAATCACCCAACGTTTTTCTACTGCATTGTGGATTAGACCCCAAGGTCAAAGGCACGACCTGTGGTTTTCTAAGAAAACCACGTGCTTCGGTTTGGACACGCGGTTAGTATTCTAGCCCTCACACAAATCAAATAATTTGTGAGACGCATATATATTTGGTGCCTTCATGTACCAATGTCTATGTGTTTAAATAAAGTAAAATAAATAAACGAACCAAGGGACTTTGTGTCTCACGACAGACCTTTAAAATTTAAACCACTTAGTCTCTATTCAATCACTTCTATGTTTAACTCTAATCAATTCACATTACTGAGCAATCAAATTTCATTTATATAAATGAGTAAATGCTTCACTCCCTAAATAGTTGAATCCCATGGTTCTTAACTAGAACTCCTAGAGCAAGTACGCCGAATAAGTTCCTAGTGTGCAAATGATTACGATAAAACTGTATAGTTGTCTATATACTGAAATCTCTCCACGAGACCTGAGGTCTGTGGATCCTTACCTCAAAGTTCGTGGATGAGCACTGTTTTGAAGCCCTGTACTAGAACAAAACCGCTTTTACAGTACTCATTGATTTGCACTGTTTATCTAATTAAGATCGAATTGTAATCTG